CATTTACATAGGCCTATTATTTCCTATGAAATCTGTCAACACGTTCTGTAAAACTTATATAGAGTATGTATAGAATTTTGATAGAAATCCCCAATTACGATGTAGAAAAATTAATTCTATAAAAATCCATTTATAATTTTATAGAAATTGTATTATACGTTCTATTTATTTATATGTTTAATTTCTGAACAATTTATCAAAAATCTTTCAAAATTAAATAGAAAATATAACGAGAATTCTATAGGATTTTTCTAAAAGAAAAATATGAAATTCTGTAGACACTATATTTAAAAAATCGAAAAAGAAAATATATAATTAAATCTATAAATTGTATAGAATTCAAATAGAATTCTTTCTATAACATATTTTTCTAAGCAATTCTCTATATAATTATATTTCTATAGAACTATCTCTATAGAAAATATATAGAGAAAAAAATCTTGGATAAATTTTCTATAGAACTATCTCAAAAGAGAATGGATAGGTTTTATATAGAGAAATAATTCTTGGATCCAATTTTCTATAGAAGTCTATAAAAACTCATAAATGTCTATAGACTTTCTATAGAATTCTATAAAACATTTTACTACGGGTAGTCATCGTGAATCCCATTGGGCAAGTAGAATGGCCCAGCGGTTAAGGCAGGGGCGCCACAACTTACAGCCATAATATCGGCGCTGGCTCAAACGGCACGCTCGCCTGTAGTTCTGTTGGTGGAACAAGTGTCTTTGGATAAGTACTATAAACCGTAAGCCCCGTGTACACATTTGGCTAATGTGCACTTTCGAGACGAGTAGGGGTTACACCGGTGTACTACCACCTGACCGTTCAGTAGGAGCGTTGGTTAGTACGCCTACAAGACAAGACAAGATATTCCACACGAAACAACAGTTTTTCCGAGTCTATACTATGATTTGGTATCAGGAACAACAGTTGCATCACACGAAAGGTAAATTCAGCCTCCTGCAAGTATTCAAAACAGCTGCTAAAATAGTCGTAAAATTACTAAATTTATAATAACTTCCATAATATTCAATATCAAAAGGGAATATTAGAAAGAAGATTTTTTTTTCTAGAGAGGATTTTTAATATGTCACTAGTTCTTCTTCTTCTTCTTCTTCTTCTTCTTCTTCTTCTTCTTCTTCTTCTTCTTCTTCTTCTTCTTCTTCTTCTTCTCCTTCTCCTTCTCCTTCTTCTCCTTATTCTTCTTATTCTTCTTATTCTTCTTCTTATTCTTATTCTTATTCTTATTCTTATTCTTATTCTTATTCTTATTCTTATTCTTATTCTTATTCTTATTCTTCTTCTTCTTCTTCTTCTGCTGCTGCTGCTGCTGCTGCTGCTGTTGCTGTTGTTGTGGTGGAGCAAGTCTTCTCGCATAAGGACTTCAAACCGTAGGCCCAGTGTACGCATTTGGCTCGCGTGTACTTTAGAACCCAGTACATCCTTCGAGAAGAGTAAGGGGTTACCCCGGTGTTCTGGTCCTTTCAGTCCCCTGTCGTTTAATGGAATGCCACGTAAGATAGTGATTAAGTTCACTGATTGGCGCTCATGCCTAAAGAAATGAAATGAACGAATGTCTATCAAAAGCTCTTCGAAGACAATTAAATATTTATTCATCGTACTGCTATGTTTACACACAAATGCTATTTAATAGCATTTCAACTTCACGGTGGCTAGCGTTTACTACTCAGCAGCAACAATCCGCACAGCTAAATGTAATACTCGCACAGGTATACTGATCATACAAAGATACATATATACATACATACAGATTTCTTTATTGTCCACACGAATGGAAATAACAAGCTCATGACTGTCAGTACAATACAATATTAGATCATCTTAAATACTTTAGACTGAAATCTCGTATCCCAGCTTGGCAGAACGAGTACTTGTAACGGTCCTTGTGCGCATTCACTGTCCTCACTCTACCACTCCTAACAATAACGTTGCCTATAATGTCGGCATGGAGCGGATGGTTTGTGTCAGCCGTTAACTAGGCCTAGTAGGCCTACAACAGTTTGATTATAAAACTGACAATTATTTATAAAGCAGTTAGAATAGTACTTATCTATACACTAAGGAAATTTATTATACTTAGGTTAAATTAATGCATTCAAAAAATTCTGAGGGTTTGCAAGTCTCGCATTAATCTAATCTTCGTATAATAAATTTCTACTAGTATATGATACGCAACAATTACAATTTCTTACTAAGGTCTACATTTCTTCAAGACTTATTGAGGTGGTAATTAATATAACAAAATAGTTCACTTTCTTTTATGCAACATACAATGAATTGTTTACAGTGAAATGTCATTAACTTTATTAATATTATTAGGATAAACATTAGATATGTTATCAAGTGGCGTTAACACTCATTATACCTATCAAAAAATATATATTATTATATTATAATATTACTATATTCCAATAGTATGATAATCCTCGTGTTTCAAGATCATTTTGAACTCCTAGACATCTATCACGTGTATTAAAGATGGACATTTAAAAATGAAATTGTTTAAGTCTTCGATTGAATTACTTTCACAAGTTTGCACAATCCATCCATCTCTTCCTTCCAAATCCAATGTATTGGTTCTGGCTTTAATCTTTAAATTTACACCAGTAAAGTTAATATTATTACTTAATGATGATTCATCTTTTGCTTAGCCGTATAGAGGATTCATAATTCAATGTTAGAAGGCCAATTATTTTCCATAATAGGTCACAATAGGAAACTCTGTAAAATGTTCATGATCAACTATAATTGATTTAATATATATGCAATGATATTTTTTGTATTTATCCGTTTCAAGTAAATATTTTTCTCCCAACTTTAATTTTCTAAATACGTTTACTTTTTGTGCCGTATTTAACACCTTTAATTTAAACTGTTGTCTTTAAAAATCATTGGCAGTACAAATTACTTTTCCAAGACTCTCCTCTATAAGAACAACATCGTCAGCCCAGAAAAGGCAGCCAATCCCAATATTATTGAAATTTCAAAGCTTCCTTTCTTTTAAAATATTAAAGTTCATTCATAAAGATTGAGAAAAGAGAATGGACAACCTTGCTTTACACATTCGTTAGTTTAGAACAAATCTGTTTTAATATCGTTAATATTCTTAATTAAATTGGAAATAATGTCTTAAAATGTTTTAAAATAAATATGTGGTCCTCACATCTTCTGTTATGACGGAACCCTCATTGAACTTCAGTCAAATATCATGTCTGATAAATAATCAGACAAAACACAAGAGTTCAAAGTTATACCACGATAGTTGTTTAGGTCATTCATATCACTTTTTTATATATCGGAATGAAATGTCACTCGTTCCATTCATCTGGAATGTTTTCTAAATCTAGTAATCTACAAAATAGACCCTTAATGAGGACATTTCATTAAATAATTGAGTCTGGGGCATGCCATCATTCAATAACGTATTTTTATTGTTTAGATTACAATGTTTATCGTCAAAATCAGCCGGTTTGGTTTTGTTTTTAAATATTGGCGGTGTGTTCCACATGCATGATGGCATTCTTTAATTATGTCTTCAATTACTTTATTAAACCGTATTGAACGTTCATATCTTATATTATGGTGATTACTTCTGATGCTATAGAAAGTATAATACGGTAATTTTCCATTTACTTTAAGATTCGGTAACATTATCGTCTGGCTTCCAGCCAGTGAACGCTGAGTAACTTGATTTTTTCCAATCATGTGGCGTTTTTCAGCTTATTTTTCCAATTTAGTATTATATACATACATACATACCTGTCTCTTATAC